CCAGCTAGCTTCGTTTCCTCCTTCTGCTACTCAACACCTGTCTTCCTTTCTCTTATCTTCTACTACAGTCTCTGTGGAATCTCTTTGCCTGTGTATTTGTTCTCTAGAAACCAAAACGAAGACAAGTCGTGTTGTGTAGCCTGTTCTATAAAGCCCCGAGCTTATCACTGATAATGGCAGATGCCAGATTTTGAAAGAATGGGAGTGAGTCTCTTCCTGTAGCCCCCTAGCACTCCAAGCCCCTGTAAGAATCCATTTAGGCATCTATTATCCTGGTTTAGCCAGCCCTTTCTTGGCCTGACTTCTATTTGCAGAAAACACTATTTATTGATCCCCCCCTTATTTTCTGACTTAATGACTGCAGATGGAGAGATCCCCTTATATATGACTCTCAAGCTGGGATTATTGTTATGCTTAATGATAATGGTTTCTAGCTGTTAAACCCTCAGCAAAGAATGTGCTTCCCTCCGTGTACCTCCTGTTGTTCAAGGGGCACTGCAGAACAAACGCTGTGGTGTCATTTTGCACTGGAGACTTCACATTAGAAACAGGTTGCATCTTGAGGTCTTTATTAAGTCGCCCAAGGCTACCCAGATAGGGAAGGTGGAAAAAAGATTTCAACCCAGTCTATCGGTCCCTGGAAGAAGAAAAGTCACTGTGCTGTGGTTTTCACAGACTGCAAGGGCACTGCTTCCCATGATAGCTACCCTGGGTTTCGTGGACTGTAATGGATATACAGGCCATCGAGGTTCAGAGTGTCATTTCATAACCATTGGTGGCATGGTCCAGGCAAGATCGGCAATGATTATGCTCACTTTGAGAGGGATGGACCCAGTAAATGAGGTTAGTAGAGGAAACGTAGACACCAAAAAACTCTTGTGGTTAACTTGGGGAGGCTTCAGAGAATAAAGAGTCCATGCAAAGTTAGACTATAAAGATAGCTATGCTTGATTTAAAAAGAAAGATTGGGACAGAAGGCCTCTGTCTGTCTGCAAAGGTCAATCTTAGAGGCATGTCTGGAGGGGGGCTGCTGATGGAAGTAGACCAGGGTCCTGCACAGCTCCGAGTGCCTATGCAGTTCTATGCCACAATAGCAGCCGTGCCCCATGCCCTCCAGTGGAGGTGATATGTGCGAACTGGGTCTGGTCCTGAAATGCCCCCACCATAAGCAATAGCTTGGAGGCATAGGCTTACCTCTGCAGAAAGGAGAAGCAGAGGGGTGGGTGAGCAGGTGGCACAAAATAGCTACCTACACATTCGCTCTACAAAATAATACATTTTCATACACAGAGCTATGCAGGTTATTGGGGTTGGCATTGGCCAATGGATCACCATAAAACTTAGACACCGATTCCAGCTCAGACAGCTCCAGAGTTAAGTAACCTGCCCTCCCATCCCTACACTGCAGCATCTCATCTGTAGATAGCATCTCCCAATCACTGTGAATTAGACAATGTATGACACAAAGCTAACCATTCTCTTGGCCCCTGGTGCTCTCCACAACCACACAAAAAGGAGAGAGCATCTACTATTCTGGGCAGAATTCCCACAGGCCTGTTTGTCCCTCTCTTTCTGTTCTTTCTATAAAATACACACTTTCAGTCATCATCTGCTGGTTCTAGAAGGCAAAAAAAAAAAATCTTCCTTGTCCCAAAAGCAAAGCGATGAAGAACAAACCTTCTGAGAAGGCCTATGAGGGCAACGTTCTTATGTATGCAGTAGCCTTTCATCAATCTCCAGAGGGACTGTGGGGAATAGGGAGAGAGGAGAAGATGAGACGCAGCTGTAAGGACTGGATGCTGGCAAGCATGATATATGTATCTCTGAAAATGTCACAGTGAACTCACTGCTAGATGCAATGCATAGGCGTTAGAGATTTTAAAATTTAACTGTGGGAACCAGACACTCTCTTTCGCCTATGACAAACCATTGTCTGAAAATACTAAAGGGAAACTCCAGAAATAAACCATTTATAAATTTTAAATCACTCTTATTATAGTGTGTTGTGGGTATTTCTGTTTTGGTTTTGTTTCTGAGATATGGGAATTGCTTTTGTAGTCCAGTTGTCCTCAAACACACTGTGTGATCCATGCTGGCCCCAAGCTCATTGTGACCCTCCTTCCTCAACCTCTGAGTACTTGGGTTACAAATGTGTATGACCATGCTCAACTGGCAATGTTGTAATCCTTCTATTTTATCATTGGTTGTTAATCTCATATTGTGCCGAATCTATAAAGTAAATGTCATCATAGTTATGCACACGTAGCATGTATGAGGTCCAAGACTAGGCATGGTTTCACATGTTCACTGGTCTTGAAACATACCCTTACTGGATAGAAGGGGTGCTGCATAATCCCTGATAGTAGGTAAAGATATATGTCTTGTTTTATATTGGTTTCACTATTTGCCCAAGATCACACAGCATTTCTGGGATTGGAACTTGGAACCTTTGGTTGTAAAGCCCGAGCTTTGATGGAGTCTTCAAATATGGTTGTAACATGCAGCCACATGAAACCCAAGGAGACTCCCTGAGGCAGGAGGGGGGCCAGGACAGCACCTTCCTCCATGCCCTTGCGGAATTGGGGCCAACTGGGACCTTTTTGGGTCTCTTTCTCTCTCCCTCTCTTCTCCAGCTGCCTTGCCCCGATTCTGCTCCTTGCTTATGATACTTTATTTTTCCATCCACAGCAAAACAATTCACATCAAGGTAATTGATGATGAGGCGTATGAGAAAAACAAGAATTACTTCATTGAGATGATGGGCCCCCGCATGGCCGATATGAGTGTTCAGAAAGGTGTAGTACCCTGTCCTCCACACTAACAGTAACAGTCTTTTCTCCTTCCTTTCTTCCTCTCTCCAATCCTTTGCCTTCTCTTCCTCTTGCCTCCTACCTTTCTGTTTCCTTCCTCTCTTGCTCTTTTCTCTTCTCCTCTCTCTGTCCTAACCCTGCCAACCTGTCACATGGTATCCATAGAGGGGTCTTCAAGAACCAATGGCAATTTTTCTGGGGTGGCAAAATGAATATGGGTGAGGTAAATGAGAGAGAGAGAGAGAGACAGAGAGAGACAGAGAGAGACAGAGAGAGAGAGAGAGAGAACCCACACTCTAAGAATATGGTAAATGAGGTTCTCTGTAATGTAGTATGGGGACAAGAAAGATGGCTAGGTTTACAGGTAGTATGCATCGTGAGAAACAGATACCTAGCACAGATTTCCATGGCAAAATTATTCTCAAGGCTGAGTTTATGTCCCAGGAGATTGAGAACCAATATATTTGGACCATACTCTGTCCCACTCCCACACAGAACCCTTAGAGCCATCTTTATCTGCCATGTCTCTGCCATCAAAGTGTATTTCTCTCCCTGACCTTGACTGAGCTTAAAGTGCAGGTCTCCATCAAAGACCTTCCTGCTGTTTGCTACTCTTCCTATTAAGGGGAGCGAGATGTGGAGGCAGGGGGAATAGTAATGAGAGAATTCTGACCTAAGGTGAATCTTTCCCTGCAAGCCCATATGATGTTACAGAATGGACAGAGCTGTGCTTTCCATCTGAATGACCTTATATAGCTCTGGCCTCCAAGAGGAAGTCAGGCAATCCTTCCTAGAATAGGTTGTGCTCTGGAACTGCTGGGTTAGGGGTCAGTATCCCTGGACCAAACCATCATCATGTTGCTCTAAGTCAGACTCATTTCAATCTCATGCAAGAGTCCCTGTGGTAACAAAACAGGTTCCCGTCTTATAGACAGAGGAGTCTCTGACCTACAAATGCTCAATGATTGTGTCCACCCAACAAGGTATGAAAAAGAATCTTAAGTAAAATACACACAGACACACACATACAAGCTATCACTGCTTGTGTTTTATTGGTAGCAAGGTGAAGCACATCTTCAGAATGTCAAAGGAACATCAAGGATCTGAGGACATTTAAGTTGTCGTTTACCCTCTTTTCCCTTTGAGAGAATTGGGTTCCACTGTCTTCCCTGAAACAAATAAACCTCAGAGAATAGCAATCCCAGCTCCATCTCTCACTGGACCTACTAACTACCACTGTGGTTCCTTGAGGTTCCAAGAGAAATCAAACATGAAAATATCCAGACCCCCACTAGAACCTCTTCGGCTAGACCAGATGACTGAATGAGGCTCAGGTAAATACTTGGAGTGGAGTATGTTTCCAAAAACAAAACTTGCTTTTCTTTGTAACTGACACTCCACTGTGTTGGTACCCAGGAATAGACAGTAATCTCCACAACCTTGTGTTCTCAACCCAAGTTAATCAGTGTTTAGAAGGTCTGCCTTGGGGCACAGCATCCCTCTGTCAATGGTGTGGAATTCCTGAATCATATTGGAGCTAACCCTTATTTGGGTTCCCTGAGCCTCCCTAAAGGATAAAAAAAATGAGAAAGTTAGGAGAGCCCTTCCTCCCTTTCTCCCTATCTCTTCTCTCTCCCCCTTTCTTTAGTCTTCCTCTCCATAAATACTTTTAAATTTTTCTTAATGAGGCAAAAGAAGGGACTGGAGTCCTAGGTTCTGCAGAAACCTTGTTCGCTGTGAAGGGTTCTGGGTCATTCCCAGTAGGCATGTTATCTACTTGTTGCCTAAAGAAATGCCACTGTTACCATGTGACACCAATGGAATGTGCTGCCCAACTTACTTCTTACTAACCACTGGCAGGATCTAAAATGACTCCTCCCCACCATGATCCCAATCTTTTTCCTCCCAACTCCCTTCCTTCATCTTGGCTCCCTTTGCCCACTTTTCCTTGTCCTCCTGTCCCTTTTCCTCTCACCTATAAGAACAACTGTGACCGAGGAGACAAGAAAAGCTAAGAGCATTATTTTTTTAATAAGACAGCACACTCCACCAGAGTCCTGTCTAAGGCCACCATGGCAGGATGGGGCTGCATGTGCCAAGAGTGATGGGAATGGTTATTACAGGCTGTGCTCCAGATGAACAACCAAGCTGCCCACCTAGTCGACACTCTCTCTCTTGTTGTCCCTACAGGAAAACCATAAGGGTTAAAATAGTAGATGAGGAGGAATACGAAAGGCAAGAGAATTTCTTCATTGCCCTTGGTGAACCGAAATGGATGGAACGTGGAATATCAGGTGTGAGATTCTTTAAAAATCAAAGCAACAACCAAGAAAAGGCAAAGAAAAAGGAAAGAAATTTAAACAAAAGAGGCAATTTAAAAAAAAAAAGAAGAAGAAAAAGTGACTCTTATTTTTGCCCCCACCTTTTGTTCCCTTCTCCTCCTTCTCCTATTGACAGAAAATTTCATGCTTTTCCCTCCTGTATTCTCGCCGCCACCCTGTTTCGGTGTCATCTCTGCCTTTTTAGTCACAGCTTATTTCCATATTCCTCCTTTCCCACCTTCTGGGCAGTGCTGCAGCCTCAACTCCTCATTGCCCTAATGAGTTATTCCTGTGTTGTGCTATAATCACCCAGTTATTCGATTGTTACTGTCCCCTGCACTTTCCCCTATTCTCTGCCCCCATACTATAGCTTGTCAATGTGAAAACTCCTTGGTGGGTGGGGAGGAGGAGAAAAAGAAAGGAATGTGATGTGTTGCATGCTTGTGCCCCTTCCTTGCCACCTCTCAATCTAGCGGGCATTGACAATAATGGGGGGGCGGGGGTTGGAGGAAGGGTGGGACCCATGTTGCCATAATGCTTTGACCATTTTCTGCTGCATTCCCCAACCTTTATTGAATGCTTGGCAAGCTCTTCACTTGCAGAGTGGCCCACAGGTCTCTCTGCTCTTCCTGGAGGTAAGTGTGTTATCTGCCTATTCCCAGTTGGGTAGACCATGGCTTGGAGAGGTATACCAGTTGGCCATGGTCCCTGAGAACTCTCTAGGGGAGAGCTGGCTTTCTGAAGTAGCCCTGCAACATGGAATCCCAAGCTCTCCTTTCGCCCTTTGACATCTCATCCATTCCATCCTACCTTTCTTCATAAACTAAATTAAGGTACCTTATGTGGGCCAGTTTGGGATAATGAAAATGGACAATTGAAAATCTGTAAGAGAAACTAAGTCATTTTAGGTTCAACTGTTCCATGAGCGTGTGGGCCCTTGAGTAAGCCCAGAATGCTTATTTATGATTATCAAAGAAAGGAACACTAAATGGAAAAGTGGTTTGGATCACTGAGGCGCTAAAGACAGCCAGTGGACAGCTGATGGATACCTGCCTTCACTTAGCATCTGCAAGTGAAAATAATGTTCAGACCTCATGGCACCTCTCACCTCTGACTAGAGAAGTAGATGCTATAGTTTTCTTGGCACGTACGTCTCAAAATCCCAGCCAAAGGCTCATCCTTAAGAGAGTGACACTGGCATTGTTGCAACCAGAAAAATAGATGCCTTTCTCACTCAATGGAAATAATCAGAAGCTACCACTTTGAAAACAGTGATGGAATAGGTATGGGAATGCAAAAACATCTGTTCATCTAGGAGAGCTGACCATTCTTCAGCGGCTTCGCATTCAGCAACAGGGAGCTACACTGGCAGGTCTAAGAGAGTAAGGTCAACAGCAACACTTTCAAAGCACCCCTTCAGGTCTTCTCCTCAAGCTTGGTGGTCAATTATCACCATCCGCTGGAACTGTCTGAAGAACTCAGCTCTGTGCCATCTCTGGATTGGACACATCTAGCCCTCAAGGGGCAAGGCGAGCTAAATAGTTCATTGCCCGCTGAGTAAAGTATTCCTTCCAATCTGACAACCAGAGAGTACCAGAAGAAAGAGAATCTCATTCCATTGCCTCTTACACTATCCCAGCCTATCGTCCAGCTCTCACTTTCTGGAATATTCTCAGAAATTGTCTCTGCACCTGCCCTACCTCGTTTCTATCGCATCCCCGTTGTGCACCAACTACACATCTTTATGACTTTCTGGAAACAAAAGCTACCCAAGGCCCATGTAAGGGCTCCAGGCAGGAGGAAGAGATTAGAAGCCCATCTATGCCTTTATTTTAACATTTAAAACAGCTATTTTCTGCCTCCCCTTGGGTCCCCTACCAAACAGTAGGACAGAAAAGGTTCTAAGGTAAGCCTTGAGCTCTTTGATAGACCTGGCTGAAGACAAACACCTGTGGCTGCTCCCCATTTGAGGTTGCCTTTTGCCTCTGAAATATTTAACCAAGAAGAGCCCAGAAGAGTCCTTGTGAAGCTAGCCCTGGGGAAGGAGGTAAGGAGACAAGGATTTCAGAAAATTATTTGTGTGATATGCCCCCCAGATTTTCCCAAAGACCAAGGTGCCAAGGTGGAAGTTGTTGGTAAGAAATGCATGGGTTTCCCAGCCTCATGCCCTATGGTCTAGGCCTTAGACTCTGGGATATTAATTTTCAGTCTCTTCAGTTCTTCCCCGATATTGGCATCAGACCATGAGGTGAAAGGTTATAAAACCCAATTGTCTAGATTCAGAGTCAAATGAAAATCCATTCTGATTTGCAGGGTGCACTACTGTTTTCAGAGTGAGAGACGGTACAGTGAAAATTGCTTTTCGTTATCACTACCGTCTAGGAGAGACTTAGACATTCAGCCTAGCATCATCTCTGCATGGTCAAAAATGACAATAGAATTTAAAAAAAAAAAGACTGGACTTGCAATAGGAAACTCTATTCTGAGCAAACACAACAGCCTTCGGAGGTAATATTAAAAGTTCTGCATGATCTGTGGTAGAGAAAAAAGGAAAGAATTAGAGAAAACATAATTTCTGTGGCACAGAGTAAGCCCCATAGTGTGAAAGAGGACTTCTTTCACAAGTGAGGCAAGATGAGGTGCTTCATTGTCTGGGCTAGTTAGTGGGTCAATGCCTGGCCAGAGGAAGTCTGGAAAAGTCAGGGAAAGGGGAGCACTGTCCAATAGTGGGGGCTGCTTCTTTGGCTTCTTTCTACATTCAGGGACACACCCTGTCCAGTGCCCCACCCCTAGAAGTTTCCTGAGCTATCTTCTTTTCTAATTGTCTCTGGGGGATCTGAGCAAGGATGAAGAAGTCTCCCCTGAGGACCAATACACGGAACACAAGGAAAAGACCCTGGTGGTAGTCAGTCACTCCACACTGACCTCCATGGATCTCACAGATGCATCTGTTCCTCCTCAGTAAGAACCCTCCAATTCACAAAGACAAGAAGCAGAGAACGTCTGGCTTGCCCATCTGAACTTTAGGGCCTGAAGTGTTCTTCCTGCAGACCCATGGAAGGAGCATGCCCATGACAATATCATGAGAATAGCCTCCGGCCAACTAATCACCTTCATGGTCTAAATGGAAACAACTGGGAAAAATCAACTGTGGCTCAGCTACTTACACACCATGTAGATTCTGAGTCCACACATATCTTCAGAGGCTGTGGACGTGAAGTTATGGGTCTCAGGCATGAGCTGCATTCCTTGCGGTTACTAGAAGAAGCAATTTGTAGATATCCCCTCCTATACCCACATACTCTCCTTCCTTGTCAGTCTCTAGCAGGAGTAGGTAGCAGGATGTTTCCAGTTCTGACAGGATGAGGGGTATAAAGTTATACATACAATCAGGATAAAAATGAGGTGGGAAATTCACAAGAATTTCTTCTTAGCTTGTGCATTTTGAAGTCCAAGAGAGTCTTGCATAGACTAAGCTCTTCTCCCGTGTGATGAGTCTCTCATTCATTGGGGGAATCTGTCAGGTTACCCTAGAGACAAGAGAGTTTTTGCATGAGCAAAAAGAAGCTCCAGACATCCTGTGTTGTGTATGTCTTTGACTCTGCTCCCCAGTCTGCGCAGAGACCTTGCATTTATCATCTTCCATCCTCATACAAATTTCGGTCTGACAGTCCCTCTGTTCTGGAGTACCCGAAATCCAGAGTTCACCTACCCTTTCTGAACAAAAAGACTGTCAATTCCCAAAGCTGTAAACAACACGCCTTTATTGAACATTACTAAGGGCAGGGATAGGGCTAGACAGGGACTATCATCCACAGTCTAAAGAATGCATCTTTCCTTACATCATTCTTTCAGGGAAGATCAAGTGTAGCTGGGATACACTGGGAAGCAGAGCATGCTCTGATTACAAGGCTGGGGCTGGGAATGGTAAAAAGGGAACACCGTCCTGTTCTTGCATATTGTTCTCTGGGGCTCACCTTCAAGACTTACTCCCTACTTGCCATCAGCAGTCCATCTACTCTGGCAGGCTTGCAAAGCACACACGGTGTTCATGATAGTTAGCCAGAATCACAGTGGCCACCTAAGTGTCTTTTTCACCCACATGGAGCACTCATCATCATACCCCCATCCTTAGCACTCAGGTTTTTAGGGAAGGTGTGGGGTAACTTCCTTGTAGCTGCTCAGCAGTCTTTCCAGCTTCTCATGCCTCTTGCTGCTGTTCTTGCCTCGCATGCTCAAATGCTGCCATTTGCATGTGTTCTTGCTCATTCTCTCACTGCCTCCCTTATGCTGCCAGGAACCACAAAGCCTGGGGCCTCTTTCAAGATGGGATCTTAATGTTCTTTCCTTTTCTTTCTCCCCCTTCCCTGATACCCATTTTCAAACAGCGCTCCTGTTATCTCCAGGTAAGAGGTGTCTGCCTTTCCCCCTCTTTTCTATTCTTGCCAGTGCCATTACTTGGTTTAAGATCAATGTCCATTACATTACTTAACAGGAACTACAGGGTCAAGGTAACCTGACAGCTTCTCCCAATGACCAAGAGACTCCTTACTTAAAGTAATTGAGGGGAAGTAGATAATTCCTTGAACACCATTTTCACCAGTGAGAGTGTGAAAATGCATAGTTAGCTGTTAAAATAAAACTTACCAAGAAGATGGTAGGTCATAGATTTCCCTGCATCTCAGTTCGTCTGCCTCTTCTGTTGTTGGAGAGGAGATGGGAAGAGTTAAGACCAGACTCTCCAATGGGATTGACATAGTGCTCAAAAGGAAAGACTGACTTCAGCGACCCAGGGAGAAATAATGAAGAACTGCTGAGAACAGTAAAAGCGGTTTGTCTTTTAAAAAAATTACAGACTTTTACTGACCCTGGAGACCTTCTAACTCATCACAGATGAGTTTTGATTTGATTTGATAGCTAGATTTGAACTCATTTGTCATTTATCCTTAGAGTTACATATGCTCCAAACAGAAAAGCTATGTGTGGGAACAGGGAGAAGAAAGATATTTATAGATTTTATTTTAGCAAGATTCTCATTCAGAATTTAGATCCTGTGTAGGACACAGACCTACTTCGAGAGTATGCCGCCGTGAGTGGAAGCCCATCACAAACAGCATCCAACTTCAGGACCAGAAAAGGAAACAGCCCTCCATGTCTGGCAGCACTGTGCTCAATACAGATGGAGTGTGCGCCACAAGGCGGTTTCAATCTGTTTTAAAAGAATGCCTTACATTTCATCTGTTCTTTGAACACACACACACACACACACACACACACACACACACAGAGAGAGAGAGAGAGAGAGAGAGAGAGAGAGAGAGAGAGAGAGAGCCATTGAAGAGGCAAAAGATCTTACAGCATGCACTGGTGTTCCAAGTCACCTACAGGCCACCCCTTGGACTTAAGAAGAGGCAATAGGCATAGTAAGATCATTTGCCTCCTTGGAGCCTACAGCAGAAAGTGCACAGAGTTAATATGTTTTCTTTTTGTGGAAACATTGCTCCAGTCTCTTCATCTTCTTGCTTATTTTTATGCCGACAGGATACGGGCTAGCTCGAACTCTGTGCTCTGCACTCTCCTCCTGGGGTGTTGGTCTTTCTTTCCCTCTGCTCATACTACCCCACATGGATACATTCAGGTTTCTTTGTTCCAGTTCTTGCCTTCACTGCTAACACACATATTTGTATTTGGGTTAAGTTTCATTATACTTTTAACAAGATTTCAGACACCGATGGAAATATAAAATGCAGAGGGGGGCGTCCTACACTTCCTCTGAATCAGGAGCCCTTGATTAGGCTTTTCCACCCACCAGAAGCCTAAGGTTTCAATTTCCATCTTCCTGAGGGGACAGGCCGATGTGATTGACAGCACCTGGTGGTGAAAGAGAGTAAATGTGTTCATCCTGGGCTATTCCACCAAGTGTGAGGGCCTTAGAGTGAAAGCCCTGGCCACACCACTGCTTCTTCGTAGGGATATCCACAGGGCGTTCACAGCGTATCCTTGTCCAGCCTGGAGAGCTCTTTGTTCTTCCAATATTTGTCCAATCTTCTGTCATATTTACATTCTACCTCCTCCCCCACCTCTCTCCCTTTCTCTTCCTATAAATGAGGGTTTGTTTAGTCGGCCTGCACATTGAGATCACCTCTCATTGTTCTCTTCACTTGAAATTCTGAGGAGCAGTCAGAATCATTAGCATTCGTCTTTTAAGTCTGGGGCTTGTGAAATTAACTTAACTTGAACTATAGCTATGACCAGTCTATAAAAATTAGAAAAGGAGGAGGATTGACGTCAAGACACTAAGTCGAGGTTCATAGAAAGGCATGTGAGTCGGTTAACAGGAATATACAGAGTACTTCTGTGGGACTGTGGGTGACTTGCCAATAGAGCATTGGCTATTTGTCAAAGGGATTTTTGCAGAAGGCTAGACAGAAAAAGTGACTGTCACCACAGGGGTGGACAGGTCAGCAGGTGGATCAATAATATGCCAGATGGATATAGTGCTAGATTGACAGCTAGACAAGGGGTTAGACAGGTACATTTACGTGTCACTGGAGAGCTCATTATGGTGGCATAAAGTTCCTGTGGCACATGTGAAGTATGACATGAGGGAACTGGCAAGGGAGGAGCAGAATAACACTGTCACTGCTGAGACAAGCAGTGGTATATGATGCCAAAGCCAGAAGGAAGAGGAGACGGCTACTCATTCTTTCAGGAGTCTGTCTTCCCTAAGGGCTTTTCTCCCAGGTTGCCTTGCAGTTCCATTTCCAGGGCTGCTGTTCTTGTAAATAGTCCCAGCACATTCAGACTCCTGGATTTGCCTTCTGAATGAACTCATATGAGACCCATATTAAATGAAGTAAGTGAGGTGAGGCTGTACCATAAGATGTCCTCCAGCTTGGAAATATAAAAGAACAAGGAATAGCTGAGTGTTCAGCCACAAACAAGGCATGTATGCCATCCCTCCAAGACTCAGAGAACACCATGGGAGAGAAGCAGGAAGAATGTAACAGCCAGAGAATGGGGTGAAGGGCCACAGAATATCATCTCCTGAACACAGTACAGCCATTCTAACCCTGAACTCAATACAACTGCACTCGCCTACCCTGAACCTGTACAAGAATGGACCTGTCAACAGCCAACCACAGAAGGGAAATGCACTCAAGAGGACCCTCCCAACCTGCAACCCTCATGACCATGATAGATTCTTGGAACTAGAGAGTTGCTGCCATCAGTTGAGTAACCACTGGTGAACCCACAAGTCTCTAGTAGAGAATTTCAAACCCATCCTTATGTGGATGGCCCAGGTTAAACTCACTGAGTCTCAAAATAAAACCCGAATGTGTGAACATGGAAAGGGGACTTGTATGATTGAGAGAGACTTGATGGGGTGATGGAGAATGAGGAAGGGGCCTATAGAATACATTGTGAGAAAAAATGAGCACAATGTGTGTGTGTGTGTGTGTGTGAGAGAGAGAGAGAGAGAGAGAGAGAGAGAGAGAGAGAGAGAGAGCTTAATCTTCAAAAACCACCAGAGCTACTATGGTGCAGCACCACGGACAGCTCCCAGACATTGTCGGGATGGCCTTCTCGTTCATTGGTTGTAGAGTCCAGTAGAAAGTTCAGACACTGGAGTCTGCACACCATCAACTGTCCTTATTCTGGCTAACCAAGGAAATCTTTATATAAATAAGTCTCCTACCTAGTAAAACCCAGCCATATTTTATAGTTTTTCCTGTGGATTGCTTTTATTGCAACCTCAAGAACCCAAGGGGGGGGGGGGGAGGAGAAAAAAAAGAAAAAGGAAAAGAAAAAGACTTTCTTGGCCTCTGACCCATTTTGTCCTTGGGATTATCCAAGGACTAGAGGATTCCCAAGGGACGTTTACTCTGTGGAATGAAAGCAATTAAGGAGCTGAATGAAAGAACTAATTACATGTGAGAATGCGGACTTGGATGGGGAGATGTTTAAATGAGCTCTGAAAGAAACAGACTGCCAAGAGCGATTTTCTAATCAAAGGGGAATGAAAAGATTCAATCTCTATTTCACTCTAATCCAGAAAAACATGTCTTCATGGTGAAGTGGCTGAAGTGGAAAACCTGTTTAGCTGTTCAGCGTGAGAAGGGACCGTTGGTAAATGATGCAAGATGCTGAGGGCCGCAGAGAATGCTTATAAAGAAAATAAAGGGAGGACTTTGTTTTATTTTTACTTTGAGTGTTTTTTTAAGCCCAGAAGAAATGGCCCTGCCTTGTATAGGAATCTTGGAGGAATCTATCTCTGGAACACCATAAAGTGTCCTGGGAATTATCCAAGTTTCCCATTGTGAAGATGTCAGTCACCTGTATGAAACGGAGATGGTTTTGCAAACATTCCCTTTCTCTTTCATAGATGCAACAGTGCCAACAATGTTGAAAACAAATGACAATGGGGGCCAGTAGGCAGTGCCTTTGGATCCGTGTATCTTCCAGAACTCTTACATGAAGTAATGGACAATCAGATCCAGCAGTGCAAAATAGTTAAGATCATGCGATTTGGCTTTTCTTCCCAGCTCTGCAGCCACTCTCTAAATGGCTTGGGAGCATCATTTGGTACCATTCACTGGGAATTCTTTGGGTCAGATTCCCTACCCGAAAATAAAATCAAAAGAGAAATGCTCATTCTCAGGTCTACCAGGAGCATGTCTGTGGCCTGATCAGGGTGTTCAGCCATTAGTAGAAAGAGAAACTAGAGATGCCCAGTCCCTGTTCTTGAGAACGCCTTGCTTTCCACCCACTGCCCATGCCCCTGAGCCATAAAGTCCTGGGAGATGGAAAAGGTGCTAAAGCTCATCTGATTTTTCTTTTGTTGCAGAGGTGACAGACAGGAAGCTGACTATGGAGGAAGAGGAGGCCAAGAGAATAGCAGAGATGGGAAAGCCAATATTGGGTGAACACCCCAAACTAGAGGTCATCATTGAAGAGTCCTATGAGTTCAAGGTCAGACCATCAGTGAGGTCTATTGATAGCTAAAGTGGGAAACAGAAGAGATGAGGCTTTTTTTTCTAATTTCACCACAGAAAATGTGAATTAGAAACCAAACAAATCACTTCTCCATCCCAGGGCTCAGTTTTCCATTTATAATATGTAACAAGTGTTCTGGTTATTTGTATGCTAGGAATACTATAGAGAAACATGATCTAAAATATGAAATAAGTAGGGCAGGGTGCTCTTAGATGTGTCACCAAAATTTTATGTTTTAAACATACCAAAACTCACTACTGCAGACCAAGGTTTACTGACGTCTTATTCTACAGTTACATTTCAAGCCAGGTGTGGCGGGCCAAGCCTTTAATCCAAGGCACTTGTGAGGCTGAAGCAGGTGTGTCTGTGAGTTCAAGGTCAACCTGGCCTACGTGGAGAATTCCCTGACAACTGCCGCAGAAGAGAGAGACAGACCCTGTCTCAAAAGACCATTATATCCTCTGTAGTTACATTCATCTGAACACCCAGTGTCTGAATCCACAATTAGAGAAAAAGGAACTAGGGGGATTGCCCAAGAAGATCTCATCCAAGGACACCACCTCATGAAAAGATTTTAGAACCCTTGCGATTCAGGGCATCTTTCATTCCTTTGTAACAGGGCAGGCCTCATTAGTCTTGAGAAATCTAACCTCATGAGTCTAAGTTTTTCTCTCCATAATAGAGTACAGTGGATAAGCTGATCAAGAAGACAAACCTGGCGCTGGTTGTGGGGACCCATTCTTGGAGGGACCAGTTCATGGAAGCCATCACTGTTAGTGCAGGTAAGAGGACCCTCACGATAGCCTTTCTAGGAGTGCAGATAGCCGCCAAGAAAGAAGATCACGGCCCCCTTAGTGGCTCATCACTTTCAAGGAGAGCTCTTCAGTGGAATCTTCCCAGCTTCGGTCTGAGATGCTTATCCCTTTCAATGGGTAACTAAAAGATAGAGGGTAGTGACGAGCTAAACGTTGGTGGCGCACGCCTTTAATCCCAGCACTCGGAGACAGAGGCAGGCGGATCTCTGTGAGTTCAAGGCCAGCCTTGTCTACAAAAGCTAGTTTCAGGACAGGCTCCAAAGCTACAGAGAAACCCTGTCTCAGAAAAACAAAATAAAAAAAAAAAGAGGGTAGTGACATCTGGATTCAATTCCTGATTCTTCTGTGTGAGCTAGTGTAAGTATCCTTTCTATCTTCAATGTTTTCAGTCCTAAAAAGAACTGCTGTTGCCTTTCTCAGAAGTACAAGTACAAAATATGTACCAGTGAAATCCAGTTTCCATCATTCCTCACCTCCCCACAAGTTTGCTTTTCCTTTTTGGTAAAATGAAAAAGAATTCTTGTTTAGAAACTGGATGTTAAGAGCTAGCAAAATGCTTTGCGTTGACCTCCCTGATGAATCTCTACACTGGATGAGTTCTTTGACATTAACAGAATGACTCCGCCATAGTGTCGCCAGCCTAGGCAGAAGTCCCAGATACCCACAGATGTGTTGGAATGAGAATGGACAGGGTCTCCCAACTGCCCCTGTATTGTCTCTCAGCAACACTATAGTTCTCTTGAACAGACAAGCACTACTGGCCTTGTCTTTTTCCATGAGATTTTGTTGTCATAGCAACCCACGGGGTTACATCCCTAAGGTCTCAGAGCCAGAGCAAAAGCACAGCCAGGAAGAGAGGCTTGCTACTGCTGCTGCCCTGCTCCCACATCCATTCTGCCATGCCCCTTCTGATGACATGACTGTGCCCCTCAAGAGACCACAGAAGGAATGTAGGCCACACAGTCTACTTCCCTTCACAAAGGAAGGATCTGAAGTTCAAAAACTCTAAAGTACCCCAGGCTAAGATTCCTTTCATTTAAAATTGGAATTAGAGCCCAGATTCCTGATTTCTGTTCTTTGCAAACTGAAAGCATTTAAACTTGCCCTTGAAGGGACACAGGTACCTCAGTACATTCTCTCTGGGGGCGGTCACTGGCGGGGCACATGTACCCATAGTTGCTAGCAAAGACAGAGACCATCCCTGCCCTGTTCCATGGGCTATCTGAGGAAGGGTACAGCCTCTATGTTCTGGAATGACATCCATCCCTCTGGTGGTGGATGATGGCAGAATTATGGTTGTATAGCTGAAGACAGGTTAGAAACTTGAGAGGAACCTCACTGGCACCCAGTGAGGAGTGGTCAAGCACACAGCCAGTTCTGTTTCCTTTACCTAGAAAATCAACTACAGCGTGTCCCTGCCTCCTTTCTAACCCCTCCTTGTCCTCCTCTTCTCCCACTCTGCCTCTTACTTGCATCCTCTCTTCTTTTTCTATAATCTACAGTTCGTTCGCTTAGCACCCTGCATTGAAACTAGGTCATAGATGACCCTATGACCAATTCATTTCCCATCATCCCCACTGTGTAACACGGGGTTACACACGCTGTTCCTCACTTGCTGTCCAGAGAGATCAGCATCCCCACTCAGCCCAGGATGCCTGTAGCATGGGTTGGACTTGACTTTTTCACGAATGAAGATCTGATCTCACTTCCCTGTCTCAAGCCTGTTTATCTTACCTCCAGCAGGGGATGAAGATGAGGATGAATCGGGAGAGGAGAGGCTGCCTTCCTGCTTTGACTACGTCATGCACTTCCTGACAGTCTTCTGGAAGGTGCTTTTTGCCTGTGTGCCCCCCACGGAGTACTGCCACGGCTGGGCCTGCTTTGTGGTCTCCATCCTCATTATTGGCATGCTCACCGCCATCATCGGGGATCTGGCCTCTCACTTCGGCTGCACAATTGGGCTCAAGGATTCAGTCACAGCTGTTGTCTTTGTGGCATTCGGCACCTCTGTGCCAGGTGAGAGTGAGAGGTACTTAAGTTTGCCAAGGGGATATCCCCTGGTTCAAATGACCCCTGGACTCTGCCTCGTCTCAGATAGGAAGCAACAGGCACTGTGGGTGATAACCAATTCACACGTTCAATCACTGCTCTGCTCATCAAAATCTTAGACAGGAAAACTGAGGTCTACCAAGGATATAGAACCTGACCAAGTAAGCGGCCCAATTTCTTAGCCTTTATATTGTATTACTAGGACACAAGAAATGCAGTTAAATGCATACGATAATGTCCTTCCACTTGCCTCTGGCAGCCTCTGAGAGATTAATTATTACCTTGCTTACAAATGTCCCTATCAAAATGTCCACAATCCTTTTTGGCCTCCCTTGCTCCCGTGGGCATCTATGAGGGCAAAGTGTCTCCTATCAGAACAGGCATAAGAACCTTAGTTGAGATTTGTCTTTCCGTGTGAGGAATTACATGCTCTTTATTGCCTTCTAAATATCCCAAGGCAAACAGCAGTAAGGATTCATTAATTCACTTAGTAGACTAATATTTACTGAGCTCCCGGGATGCCCGATGCAGTGCCGTGCTAGTTGCTCATCTATTGTGTGGGTTGAGGCACACATGTTTCCTTCTCAGCCCTCAGCTAAAAATCTAGCAAAGGAGACTCTACCCAAATGATTTTTTTTTAAAAAATCTCAACGATTTCTATGAAGTAAAGGTGTCAAACAGGGAACCTTAGTTAAGTCGGGTTAGGCCAGGTCCTGCAGAAATCAGGCCTGAATGACAAGCAGCAGGTAGCAGATACAGGGTGACTGTAGTAGGCCAGGCTCCCTACTGGAGAGACCTAGTCTGGGTCTCTACGGCACCTGAACTCTGACCTTTTGCTAGCTTCAAGTACTTGGGCTAAATCTTACCAGGCAGAAGTCAGCAGGGGGAACCAAGGGCCACTTTCATTGGAAAAAAGAAACATCCTGCTGGAGATCAATTACACCCATTCACTTCTTCAGCATGGCCATGACAAAAGTCCCAAGGAAAATGCTTAAAGAAGGAAGGATTCGTTTCACTCACGGTTTCAGGAGTGTTAACACAGCATGGCAGGGAAGGAGGCATGACGGAGAAAAGCAAGTCACATCACGGTTGACAAGAACCAGAGAATGAGAACGTAGGACAGACCCAAGGCAAGCTATAAGCTCCAAGAAATGCCCCCCCCCCCACAAGTGAGCTACATCCCCCACCTAGGTCCCTCCTACCTTTCACTGCCGCCTAATATCGCCATCGTATTGTGACTCTAAAATGGATTCGTCCATTCCTTGAGACACAGCCCCTGGGATCTAATAGTCTCTGGAGACTTCATTGCAGGTACACCCAAAGGTGTGCTCTACCACTTCCCCTGGGTGGCTCTCCATCAAGTCGACACTCAAAACGAATCGTCACACGATATCTACACCACACTCCAGGAACTCCTCCTTCTCAACTCCCAGGACAGACCAGGGCGGGGGTGAGGGTGTCTTAGTCATGCCGGAAGTCTGGCTATTATGGAAATAAATCTGTTGATAAGAAGTCAGATGATGGCAGGAGCTTTGCAGTTGAAATGCCCTGTGCTCGCTGTTCTCTGGGCCTTGGTGTGTCTAAACTGATGGAGGGGAAGGATCCCGTGTGAGGGGAAAGAATAAAGTAGGGAAGGAGAGCTTGACTTCAAGGTCATAGTCAAGTTGGGGCAAGAAGCTTTCTCTGGGCGATCTGAGAAATTTGACAAGAGTGAGACATCAGGCTATACTGGTAGAGAGATCCTTCAAGGTATTTCCAAGGCCTGGAAGTTGGTCCAGAAAGCACCTGACAATCTTAGAGCTTTCCGAAGAATATACTGAGGTCCATGCCTCTGCCATAGCTCTTGTGAAAGCTCTCTGGGAATGAGAGGGTGTTATGGGCAGGGTCCTCCCATGGGGATTCTAGAGTCAAGTCTCTTGCTCACTCAAGTGACCTTGTGTAGATGCCTTGATCCTGATTCTCCTGTGTGCATGAGCATTGCTCAGTCACTTTCAGGGTTAAACGAGTGCATGCCCCACAGGACAGTTACAACCAATCACCTGCTCCAGCTGCTTCCCTAGTTGCCTGGGCAGATGTTATGAAGTGACTGAATCTTCTTTGCTACAAACATGATATAATTGTTAGCAGGGAGTGATAGGCTCCCTTGGTAAATATTAGAACAGGAATAAATAGCTCTTAGGGTGTTTCATACACCTACAGATGAGGAACGGGAAACCCAGACCCTTCATTGGATCTATAATCTTTAAAGCTATTCAGTTCATGAGTGACAGGGCTGGAAAGTGGCCCGTTTGCCCGCACTGCCAAGCTGCCTATGAGGGATACTCAAAGGCAAACCCTGCACATCCCAGTCTCCCACGGCTCCCATTTGTCTCTGTCCTTTTCCAGATACATTCGCCAGCAAAGCTGCTGCCCTGCAGGATGTGTATGCAGATGCCTCCATTGGCAATGTCACCGGCAGTAATGCTGTCAACGTCTTCCTGGGTATTGGCTTGGCCTGGTCCGTGGCCGCCATCTACTGGGCCATGCAGGGACAGGAGTTCCATGTGTCTGCTGGCACTCTAGCCTTCTCGGTCACTCTTTTCACCATCTTTGCATTCGTCTGCCTCAGTGTACTCTTGTACCGTCGGCGGCCCCACCTGGGCGGGGAGCTCGGAGGTCCCCGTGGCTGCAAGCTTGCCACTACGTGGCTCTTCGTCAGCCTGTGGCTCCTCTACATACTTTTTGCCACACTGGAGGCCTACTGCTACATCAAGGGGTTCTGAACCACCAGAGCAAGACCTCCACAGGGCAGGCCTGGAGCTTCTCCGAAGAGAAGGGCGCTTCCTCTCCAACCTCTCCAGGTTGAGCGCAGCCCTGGAGAAGCAGCATCGGGACCCAAGCCCCAGGAACGTCACCTGACCTAGGCCCTGGCACTGCACAGAAAGGGCAAAAAAATCTAACCAATCCAATGGAATGGAGGAGACACCACCTGTCCAAAGTATTTAATTAACAACAAACCAACAGCAGCAACAAATCCACCTCTACCCCATCCTCCATTCATGTCCCCGAGCCGTCTCTTGTGTATCCCACTATTCCTTTGACTCTAGTTCCCTGCAGGGCAGGATTTCCCCTGCCTCCCGTGACATGCATCAAGACTCCCTCATTCAGCTGTTAGGGTGTGAGGACGAGCCATCTCCACATGGCTGATTTTGGGGTGCTCTCTTCATCAAATTGCCAGTGTGATCACTTTCGTCTCCCTGCCAGGCTCCACTTATTGTCTTGTCTTTTCTTTCTGAAGTTAGTGACAAAGGTCCCTGAAGGAACTCCAAGTCTGAGCGACAGATGGAGGCATGGGCTTGCTGACACACACCCTCCTGCTCTCACAAAGCCGCAGCTGTCTCTTGGCTCCAACTCAGGGTGCAGGAGGAGTTTCGTCTGCTTGCATTGACATCACACCAAAATTACAGCGCAGTCACACTCATCTTTACGGAGGTCATTCTGCTTCTCCGTGTTGTATGTCAGCCCCTGTATGTGTGCCCTCCCACAGAGACACTTGCCAAGTTGAGGCTTGGTAATAGGAAATAAGAGTCCCCCATGCTGACCAAGGGCAGCTGGAGAAATAGAAGGGAAACCCCCTCCAATGTTCTGGTGTTTGTGTCTGAGGTGGGAGAGAAGAGGGTGCCCAACTGGGGAGGTCTCTAAGGGAATGGATCACATGTAGAGGGTTGGTGTTTCTGGAGAATGCCGGCATTACCACCCCTCCCTCGCCAGTGCGCCATACTCAAAAGGCTAAGGAGATTGCTTGAAGTGATGTGAGAATTTGGAGGTTTCTAAGAGAACAGGGGGCCCCTTCCTCCTCTCCTGGCCTTCAGGCCACTTTTGAAAGCATGCCCACAAGATAGGAACTGGAATCTCTCATTTCCCCCATGTTCCTGCTTGTTTTTAAGCCTCAGAAAGTTCTCGACCCAGCCTGTGGGGTATTTCTTATACCCCCTCCTTTCCCAGGAATCCAAGTCATCACATTCCCAAAGAGCCAGGGCTCTTAGAAAATGAGGATGGACACACTGACACCCCCCCCCCCAGACCTTTTCCTGACGTATTTGAAAAGTCCTGGCTTTAACACACACACACACACACACACACACACACACACACATACACACACTACAAAACTGCCCACGGGTCTTGAGGCTTTCTGCATTGACATAAATACATTTTCTAAGACAGAAAAAAATGAAATTAAAATAACACCTGTTTAATTTTGAACACATTTTTTTAAGAAAAAAAGAAAACAATGTTCGTGTCCTAAGCTATGTTGACAGTTGCTGGTGGAAATGTTGGGTTGGTTCAAAAAAATAAATAAATAAAAGTGAAAGATCTACTTCTATGTCTCTCTACTCACAGCCTGTTTCTGCCCATGGTTCTTCCTTCAATGAATGGTCCAAGGCCCATCTTGGGAATCTGCTGAAGCAGAAGCAATTGAACCAAAGGTGTCATCTCCCATCAAACACAAGTGTTAATGTGCTAGGCATTGTAATTTTTTCAGAAAAAAAATGTTTAGGAAACGCTGCCTGTCACAACCCAGACGTAAAGAAGACACAGGTAATAAGAACTGTGCCGATGAAGGCTAGGGAGCATTTTGTACCAGAAGGGCACAGCAGGGCAGGACTGTGACTAGGAAGTCATATTTAGCCAGAGCTCCACACATAGACCCAGAACCAGCATTCATCTGCTCATCGCACACTCCACAGTCCTGCAGTGATCGCCTTCCACGTGTTGTTACACTCTGTGACACCGTGAAGATTCAGTTCCTGACCACAAGAAAGTCACAATCAAAGAAATGAAATAAAATTTCTTTTAATATGGTGCTTCGGGGTTCTAAGAGACAGATACCAATTAAATGGTTCTAGAAATAGACGTGAAAGCATTGGGATGCCTGGTTGGGGGAGGTTTTTGAGAAACTCAGATCAGGAAGTCCTGGAAAGCCAAGCCTTCCCTGCCTCCCATCCATGTGTTCCCTCCGGTCCTTGCTTCTGTCTGACTGTGGAGCCCTTCGCTCCCTCGTCTCCCTAGGAGACCCCTTTGTTTGCCTTGACCTACAGTCCAGCTCAGTTGACAGCTCTGGTGTGATTTCATGGCCTCACAGCTCCACTCTACAGAACTGACTGAAACTCTTGGGAATCTGAGAGCAAATTCTCAATTGAGAGACCACAACTAACTCCCCATACCCAGAAGGGCATTTCCAGAAGACATAAAACTTTGTGGAGGCTACCTTGTGTGTGTGTGTGTGTGTGTGTGTGTGTGTGTGTGTGTGAGAGAGAGAGAGAGAGAGAGAGAGAGAGAGAGAGAGAGAGAGAGACAGAGAGAGAGAGAGACAGAGAGAGAGAGACAGAGAGAGAGAGAGAGACAGAGAGAGACAGAGAGAGACGGGGGGAGAGAGAGAGAGAGGGCATGTGAAGAGGTGAGTGGAAAATGTGTGGATAGTTAGCTATGCTCTTAAGCCTGTTCCAGGCCCAAACAAGTCCTAGAAAATGAAGAGGTAAGAATTACACACATATGTTAGTGCCCTTCTGAAAGCTATGGAGTGGACGGAGCCCATGAAGTTTGTGCACAGTTAGGTGCAAACATGAAAAAGGCCCTGTGACACATGTGTTCTGAGCGTGGCATGAGCAGAGGGCCACAGGACACAGTCATGTGGCAACACTGACTGGGTCCTGAATTGGGAAGGACCTCACTGAGAATGGGACCTTAAAGCAAAATGTACAGTAATTTACTTTGGTGAAAGGACTCAACATTGAAAGACAGACAAAAAGGAACCCGATAGGACCGTGGCATGGAGCTCAAGAAGAAAAAATGCAGGTGGATGCTAGCTACTGCCTGCTGGTATATCTGAGAAAGGATAAGCCCAAGGAAAGGTCCTCTGTTAAAGGCAAAAGGAAAGAAAAGAAACGGAATAAAAAGAGAATTCTACCACCACCAAAATGAATAAATACATATCACTTATCTTTTTGCATGGTGGAGTTTAACCCTTGCCTAGGCTTAAATTTCTGGCAAAACTGGGCTAAGAAAGCAGATTTGAGAATATAAGCCCTTCAAAGCACTGATAACTAGAATACAATAGATAGGTAGGTGAGTGGGTAGGATGGGTGGGTGGATGGATGGATAGATAGATTAGATAGAAGATGATAGATAGATAGATAGATAGATAGATAGATAGATAGATAGATAGATAGATGATAGATTAGGTGGAGGATGGATGGATGGACAGATGGACAGACAGACAGATAGATGATAAGTAGGGAGAGAGGATAAATAAGCAGGAAGATCTGAGCTAAAGATTCACTCTATTTCATTGGTAGCTGAGAATGAAAAAGAAATGTCTTCTAGCTGATTCTATGGGAGAGACAGGAGCATGAACTCCATCTGTGCTCATGTCTCCCCCGTTAGAGTCACTTGTAGATCACCCAGACATTGGACTTAGTGGAGAGAGGTTGAAGTCCATCTATGGATGACCCCTAGTGAATATGGAGGAGGTTTAAGGCTGGTGTCCACAGAGAGGAAGGACCTTAATGGGAGTCTAGACACAACTAGTTCTCTGGATTGAGTGAACGCCTCTCCTGGCTCACAGCAGCCAACAGCTTCTGAAGCCAATTACTTCCAATATTAATATTGATATTCTAGGACATAGACACAAGGGGGTGGGGAGCACGAGGTGATGTATAGAACTGCCTGACAGCCATAACTGGCAACACTGCAGGCATCCCTTCAGGGTGCCCTGGTCCCACAGGCTGAGCATTCATCAGTATGAAGCTGGCACCACCAGCCAGTGTGTGCACACAGAGCCACCACATTTTCCTCCCTTTACCTCATTTGTTTTCAAGACACACAAGCTATCATAATAAATTAGCCCCAGCATTTCAGTAGCTAGGGAAAAATGAAGTTTGTTCCCCACTCATGCGGTGATCTAAGGAAGATGCCCTTTGTCAGCAGGTAACGCTCTTTTCCACGTGATGACTGAGGGGCTCCATTTCTGTCATTCTATAAGTGCCGTCCCTGTGTGTCTTCTCCAGTCATCTCAAATGGGAAGTAAATTGGAGGTGGTGTGCCTGTACCTAACTGCCTCAGCTCCCAAGTCGTGCCGCGCTTGCTCATATCCAATTAGTAAGAGCTAGTCACTTTTACTCATTCAAATGCAAAAGAGACTGTGAAACACAATCCTTAGCTGGTGCTCGCCGCCCATAACCTCTCCAAACCGCAAAAGGATCTTTTAGAGTAAATGATTGTCCTGTCACAATGCCTTTGCGATTAAGGACGGATATTTTAATATTAATGGCCAAGAGCAGTATGACCTGTGTCTACCCAGTTTTCGAAGCCTTTAATATACACCACTTTTGTCTGATAAGAGGTAGATATTATTCTTTTCTGTCAAGCAGGTTACAAGTGGTTATATGATTAGCCTGGAGCACACAGGCGGTGCGGATCAGGCAGAAACATGGGTCTGATTCCAAATTTTGCTCAGAGTGCTTGTTCCAGAATATCATGACCTCTTGTAACAGACACCAGAACAAAGGATGGGAAGAGGCTAGAATTACAGCAGGCTGAATGTAGCCGGTGAAAGAAACCCACAGAAAGGCAGCCAGTTGGCAATTGGGAGCCAGCCAGCAGTTGGTTCTCTGGCCCCTCCACAATGTCTTCTCACATGCTGCATCCTCATCTTCCTGAACGAAGCTGCTTAGGGGAATTTCACTTGAGCACCTGTGAAGCTCAAGGGCCAACCAGGGGAATTTCACTTTGATGAAATCATTTGTATTGATCATTAAAGATGGGAAGCCATCTGGCCCCAGGCCGAGGGAATTCAAAAAGACATCTTCTGGGATCGTGGCATTCAAAAGGATTCCTGGAAAACTACCCAGACAAGTATGTCACATGACACTCAGAGCGGTGTGTCTGGGGTCTGTGCTGCTATAAAAAAAAACTTCTGGATCTGAATGCTTTATATAGAAGTATTCAACTCACGTTTCTATCGGATCAAGACCACAGTGCTGCTGGCACTTGCTTAGCTTCTACAACATGGCTGAGAAAGGAATGGGCAAGTGAGCATGTGCGAGAAAAATCCATGTGTGTCGGGGGGGGGGGGGCGGAGCAGAGAGAATCAAAGAACTGGTTCACATTATAATAACCCATTTTCCCCAAAACTACCACAGGAACCATATTGATGCCTTCATGACAGAGCACCTGGAGCCCAGTTACCTCCTAAAAGTCCTAATGGTACCCCCTCAGTACTGGTATGTTAGGAGTTAAGCCTCATTGTGAGGTCTATGGACATGTAGCACTTGCCTAGTGTGTGTGAGAGCCTGGGTTCAATCTTCCCCAAGCAAAAAGCACTTTGGTAGAGACATATCATATACAAAGCCCAAACCATAACAGAGAGACTCAGGCTGATACTATAAATAGTGAATTTAGCCTTTCCTAATAAACATAAAGCTTCCTTCTTTTATTTTTATTATACATTATTTGAAGTTTAATATATAGATAAAAAATATGTATAATGCATAATGTGTTAGATATATTGATGTGTGTATACAATATGAATTATTTCAATCAAGCTTATATTATACACACATGTCATATATATACATATATATCATATAAATATATGTGTGTGTACATCACCCCGTATATTCTCTCTTTAGTATGATAGGAATACTTCAGTTCTACCCTCAGGGAATTTGAAGTTTATGTTCCATATACTATTCACAATGGTCATCATGCCATGCCTTAGGTTTGCAGAACCTAAGCATTCATAATTGCAAGTTTGGACCTTTTAACCAGCATCTCCCCATAGCCCTCACCCCGGCCATTGATAGAACTATTCAAATTTTCTGTTCCATTAATCTGGATTTTTAGGAACATTCTATATATAAGTGAGATCATGCATCATTTGTCTTTCTGTGCTTGGCTTCTTTCACTTAGCCTCATTTCTTCTAAGTTCCTCCATATCGTACACAGCAGAATTTCCTTCTTTTTAAAGCTGAGTATTGGTTTTGTTTCTGTTGCTATGATAAAATACTCTTAGCAGTTTAGGGGAGAAGGAGGTTTGATTTAGTCTATAATTCCAGATTACAGTCCATTGTTATGGCGAAGTCAAGGCAGGAACCTCAAATAGCTAGTCCTTATTACACCCAAAGTCAAGAGCAGAAAGAAATTAATGAATAATGCTTGCTCACTTGCTTGCTTGTTTGTGCTCGGCCTGATCTCTCCAGTTCTATACAGTTTAGAAGCCCCTGCTTAAGGAATAGCACTGCCTACAGCGGGCTGGGTCTTCTTCCCACAGCAACCAACATAACTAAGTCCCTCACAAACATGCTCACAG